CGAAACGAGGACATACAAAGAAAACGTGCTCCGCATCTTCAGCAACTCCTGGGCAGGTCGGGCACTCCGAGGAGTCATCGTGCTTGAAGCGGTTTAGATACTCTCGGAAACACCCATGTCCCGACAACATCTGCGTAAGATAGTAATTGACCTCACCGTGATTCCGGTTAAGCCAAATGTCGATCTTCGGTATGAGACGGTGTGTCCATCTTCCTGTTGTCGCGGCGTCCCACTGCGATTGCCATCGTGCAATGCTGTTTTGCCGTTCTTCAGCTCTGAGTTCCTCGGCACTTAGTGTGGTTGACCTCTTTCGTTGGTAAAGGTTCCGTCTTTCCTCAGCTAGAACTTTGAGCGGTAGAGTTCCGGAAATGACACATGTGTGTGTGTGTGTGTGTGTGTGTGTGTGTGTGTGTGTGTGTGTGTGTGTGTGTGTGTGTGTGTGTGTGTGTGTGTGTGTGTGTAAGTATGTAAACCTCTTATAACTTTTGAACGGTTGAACCGATTTTATCGCGGTTGGTGCCATTCAAAAGGGCTTCACTAAACTTAGATTTCCTAAAAATTTGAACCGATTCGGACCGATAGATTTTGAGAAATTTAGAGAAATCTTCAAAAAAATAGGAAAAAAATTTTTTTCAGAAGTGGTTTTTTTGAATAACTTTTAAACGGCTCTATCGATTTCAAAAACTAATCAGCTCTCAACCTTAAAAAACCACGTCGATTGCCGCCAATCCGGTCAAAATCGGTTGATTCGTTCAAGAGATATCGTGAACGAAAAAAAAACCGAAAAAAACCGAAAAAAGAGTTTTTTCGGAATTACTCCGAAATTTCTAGTTTAACCAATTTAAACTTAAGAATTCTTTATGAGGCTTAAAAACTGCGTAGAATGCCGCCAACCGCGTGAAAATCGGTTCATTCATTCAAAAGTTATTGCGATTTGAAAATAAAAAAAATAGTGTTTTATCAATCTTCTATCAAACTTTTGAGCTCGAAGAGCTCAAAAGCATACAAAAGCAATTTTTTTGAGCTCGGAGAGCTCAAAATAATACACAAATTGTATTTATGAGCTCGAAGAGCTCAAAAACGTTATAAGTGCAATTTCAAGCGTTTAGGTATAGAATTGGCGGGAAGTTGCAGGGATGGCCTTCAGGGTCAACCGTATTCCTAATTTTTTAATTATCTATTTCGGAGCAGAGCATTTTTTTTGAAATTCTTATTTCTTAAAAAAAAAACATAAAATTGCAGTAGCTTTATAACCATGGGTGCAACAAGGACAGTACCGTTTCTCGCAGTGAGTGCGATGCGAGACAAAAAGAGGACCGGCTGTTAATCTATAATAACTTTGACAGAGATTATTTACCAAAGTGTGATGAAATTCATCTTGAACTAAGAAAAAAAAAAACTCTATACATTACTGTAAAAAAACTGAAATGATATTTTGATTAATTCAAAAATTGTAATTTAAGATAATTTTATTTCAAAATATGACCCGTGTAAAAAAAAATAGTCTTAAAATTGTCGTTCGTTTAAGATCTTAAACGTGACACAAACTAAGACTATTTTAAGACTCTTTTAAGATGCCAAAAAAAAAAATTCCGAGACTTCTTAATAATTATTTTGATCTTTTTAAGACTATTTTCAGATTTTTTCAAGACAATTTTAAGATTTTTTTAGGACTATTTTAAGATTTAAGTTTTAAAATAATTTTTAAATAGTCTTGAAAAATCTTAAAATAGTCTTAAAGAAATCTGAAAAAAAAATATTAAAAAATTTTTAAGGCTATTTTCAGATAACATCACAGTGGCAACTCCGGAAAATTATTATGGAGCGTCTTTAAATTGCCTTAAAATTGTCTTAAATTAGTCTTAAAAAAATCTTAACAAAAAATTTAAACTATTTTAAGATGGGTTAACAGCGACAGAGCCCCGGAACATTAAAACAGAACGTCTTAAAAAAGTCTTAAAATTGTCAGATAATAATTTTTTAACAATTTTAAATTCAATTAAAAAACATCTTACTCAAAAATATTGCGATTAGAAAGTCGTAAAATCATCTAAAAATTAATTTTCACAACAAACTCGAGAACAAAATTTTCAAAAATCTGCTCTCGGAATTTTCCTTTTGGCGTCTTAAAAGAGTCTTAAAATAGTCTTAGTTTGTATCACGTTTAAGATCTTAAACGAACGACAATTTTAAGACAATATTAAGACGATTTTTTTTTACACACATACGTATGTCATAATAAAATTTTTTTATAGACAACAGTAAGATCATGTAAAAATAAAGTTATCACCGAGACTAATTTCCATGCAAATGAACACCTCTTCCAAAAAAAACCGAGGTTAAAACAACTCTAGTAATTATATTCAAAAAACTGCAAAGCATACAATATTTGCAATACTTTTTTTCAATACTGTTCGTATATATGTCCAGAAAATTTTTCGCAAAAAATTACCCTATAGCTTGAAGAACGTTTCAGTCATTGACAAAAAAAAACTAAATAAAATTTAATTACTTCTTTTTTAATTTTAAACTCTCTCTTCAGTCAATCAGTTCTGTCGATGTTAATTAAACAATGTTTAAAATGGTCGAAAAAATAAATCCGATCAAAATCCTTCAGAATTGTCAGCTAACCTCTATTTTAAGGATGTGCTCTATTTTATAAATATTCATAACAATTATCAACCCGAAAATAGTCGAACTTTTCTTTCACCTTGGATAATTATTTTTCATTTTTTCTTTTGACAATAAAAGATTCATCGAATTAAGATTTTGATAAAATAAAAAATTTCTATTTTTCGAATAGATTTTTAAATTCTTTATTAAGTTCGATAACATCATTATTTTTTAATTTAATTAAAACAGAAATTTTTCATTTCCTTTAAATAAAAGTAAATTAAAACTGTTAAAATCAATACTTCTGTTTAATAAATTTCTATAATACAATATATAAAATTTTTTACAAAATCATAATACAATTTTAGGTACCAACTAATTTTTATAATTAGATACACTTATTTTTAACGAATCAATTAGTAAATTCTGAAGACAAAATTGATACTCAAAATTAAGACTTAAAGAGAAGACAGCGGCCAAAGGTATTCTGTTAATAATTGAGAATGGTTAATCTAAATTTATTATCATTCCAGTAAATTAAATTAATAACATTATGAAATAAATAGTATTAATAGTAAGTAAGATTAGTAACATTAATTATATAGGAAATGCATAAGTCAAAACGTCAGGTGGTTATAAATTCGTAATTGGCTCTCTTAGATACTAAAATGGTTGCTAGCACGCTGACCGTCAAGGGCTGATTAAAGCACATTATGTCTAATTTCATTTGATCATTGTCACATATGTAGTTACTTAGAGACATCAGTTTGTAAAGTGGAGAATTTCTAGCCAGGTTTGAATGGACTGAATGAAGATAAAACGTAGGGTTTGACCTAGTGTTAGCTTGTGGGACTGCTATTGCAAACTGTTGCAAAAATCTAGGACATTCTATGCTACTATTGAATAGGCCTTTTACAAAAAGTATCGAAGCACAGATCCTCCTCTCCTCCAGGGTGAGTAACCCAGCATCCAAGCAGAGAGAATGATATTCTGTGCCTCTTTCAGGATATATCCCATACTTTTTGTAAGCAAGGTACTTTAAAAATCTACGTTGGACCTTTTCCAGTTCCAGCTTATGCTTAGCATATAAAGGAGACCAGACCACTGCAGCATATTCCAGCTTAGGACGTACCAGCGCAATATAAAGTGTTAAGATGGCTTTAATGTTCGTAAACTTTTTAGTTAATCTAATAACAAAACCTAGTTATTAGATATTAAAAAATTTTTAGGCTATTTTCAGATAACATCACAGTGGCAGCTCCGGACAATTATTATGGAGCGTCTTTAAATTGTCTAAATTAGTCTTAAAAAAATCTTAAAAAAAAAATTTAGACTATTTTCAGATGGACTAACAGCGACAGAGCCCCGGAATATTAAAACGGAACGTCTTAAAAAAGTCTTAAAATTGTCAGATAATAATTTTTAAACAATTTAAAAACATCTTACTCAAAAATATTGCGGTTAGAAAGTCGTAAAATCGTCTAAAAATTCATTTTCACAACAAATTCGAGAACAAAATTTTCAAAAATCTGCTTTCGGAATTTTTCTTTTGGCGTCTTAAGAGAGTCTTAAAATAGTCTTAGTTTGTGTCACGTTTAAGATCTTAAATGAACGACAATTTTAAGACGATTTTTTTTTACACGGGGAGTTTAAAAATGAAATTCTCAATGGGAAAAATTTTTTTTTGGCACGACTCATGCAGAATTTTACAGAAAATTGTATTAATTTTTAGTCTTATTGGGACAGCCCTGTGAAAGCGACATTAACTGCAACCTAATACGGAAAGGAATATGCTCTCAAAACAAAATTTGTGTTTGCGATTCGAATACCTTTGCTATAGATAAAATAACCTGCCTGCCTATTCTAAATACTTATTGTACGTTCGATGAGTGTCAAATATAGAATCGTTTGATTGTCATAATAATTGGTGTCAATGCAAGCCTGGATATTCAGAAGTGTCTGCCTATCAATGTATGAAAAGTAAGTATAATTTTTTTTCTGCTACAAAATTAATGAAAAATTTATTAATGGATTTTCTGCAGCCCAATCGCTATATTCTTGTTTGAACGTTTCTGAATGTGTAGAGCATTACCATTTTGAATGTTCCGAAGACAAAAAGTGTGTTTGCAAGGCTAACAATATTGCTATCAACAATTCAACATGCTTGCCAAATTTGAACGGATATTGCTGGAAACACGATCAATGCGCGGTTTTGAATGCTGAATGCATTGATTTTCGTTGTCAATGCAATTCTGGCTATAATAGTGTTTCCACAAATATGTGTGTATTAAATCATTAATATACATTTTATAAAAACCTTGAATCTTCTGAGACGCTGATTTTCAAGCAAAAATTATGTATACGGATGTAGTTGGCTATGTGTTTTTTGAAAACAATCTTTTGCATTTTAGTTTTGTTTTTTTTTCACTTCCATATGATTGTTAAAATTTTCACTTTTTGATTCTCCAATAGCAATTTCGATTTATAAAATTCTTGTAAATTATCGTTACAATGTGTTGAATAAGTAAAATGAAAACGATGATTTTATAAATTATTAGAGTGATCAAACTTATTTTTATGGAAAGAAAGTTGAAATAAATAAGTAATATACTTCGAGTGCAAACAATTACATTTTCATTATTTCATTCTAAAACTATTGAATGCAACACACAAATGGTAAAAAATATTTTAGCTTTAAAAAAATCAAAATTTTTTTACATGTATATTATTGTAATTTTTTAATGTATTTGTCATCAAAGTTTTTGTTTTTATTTCGACTTTTATGTAAGATCTTAAAATATATCGAGAAAAAAATAGTAAAAAAATTGATGGCAAGAATATTTTTTTTTATTCAACTTTAAAAAATGCCTTTGAATTCTTTCAACTACAATATCTCTATGAAGTTGACTTCATGAAAAAAAAAAAAAAAATCGATAAAATATTGATTGATGCTCGTAGCACACGTATGATCAAAATAGGTTTCGCATTCAATATACTTTCAAACTATTTTATGAATTAATCACTTTCAACTGTATTATGTTATCTCGAAACTAGACCATACTCTCACTAACAAATCATCAAACATCTAAAAGTACCCTTTCTCTTTGTCTATATCGTTCTCCAAAACTGAGCAACGAAAGTTTGGTTTGATCCAAGTCATACGAATAGGAGAGCGATATATACATCAAACAAGTGTGCATTGAGCAAAACTGATGAGACCAATGTATACATTAGTTCGAAACTGCAAACATTAGACAAATACATTGATGAACAGTTACAGAAATCCACCAATTCATTTAACCTCGATCTCGATAGCTTGTGTGCAGTCATAGGAAACTTAATCTTACTAAAAATATTGTGAAGAATTGAAGGAGAAAAAAACTAAAAACGGTATCGATTAATTTATGTTTGTGAACAAAGTTTCTAATATGCCTATAGATATGGCCTGATATCGAAATTGGCCTTATCAGGCCATATGGTGACTCTTTTTATTATGTATCTGAAACTAATTCCGTCTCAGCCAAAATATCTGTATACAATAAGATCTCGATGGAAAATATCGCTGATCAAAAAAATCTCAAGACCAAAATATCTCACAATAAAATCTCTTATGGTTTTATTTTTTTGCCGATATTGAAATCTAGAAGTAGTGACCTAGTGATGGTTGGGAGGCTAAGCCCCCCAATAAACAAAAATCCTTCATTATTAGGTGCTACATTGTGATAATTGATATTTATAGTTACGTTCTATCATATTTATATTAATATGCTATCATATTGACATTTTTTTAACTTTCCGCTAAGAAAATTGAAAATTTTCAAAAATCGGGAAGTTATTGGTTTTACCCCGTTTTTTGAAAATCGAGTTTTCATCGGATCTCGACGTTTCGAGGTCCTAGGAAGCTTCCCTGACTATTCCCGCGATGGTGTGTGTGTGTGTGTATGTGTGTGTGTGTGTGTGTGTGTGTGTGTGTGTGTGTGTGTGTGTGTGTGTGTGTGTGTGTGTGTGTGTGTTTGTGTGTATGTATGGATGTATGTAAACGTCCCATAACTTTTGAACGGCTCGACCGATTGAATCGCGGTTGGTGTTATTCGAAAGGCCTTGACTGAACTTAGATTTTGAATACAATTTGGACTGGTAGATTTTGAGAAATCTCAAAAAAACTACAAAAGAAAACTTTTTCAAAAGTGGTTTTTTTGGAATAACTTTCAAACGGCTTTACCGATCGATTCCAAAAACTAATCAGCTTTTAACGGTTACGCGACCGGAGATCCCAAGACAATTGATCCGCGACTATAGATCCGCGACATTAGATCCGACGACATTAGATGTTCATGGCGCTAAAACGCGGGTTATCGTGTTGCGCCCTCTTAATACGGTTTTTGTGTGTATTTATCCTCGGAGCAATTGTCGTCGGATCTAATGTCGCGGATCTATAGTCGCGGATCAATTGTCTTCAGATCTTCGGTCGCGTTACCGCTTTTAACATCAGAAAACCACGTCGATCGCCGCCAGCCTGGTCAAAATCGGCTGAACCGTTCGTGAGTTATCGTTGACGAAAGAAAACCGAAAAAAGTGTTTTTTTGGAATTACTCCGATATTCCTAGTTTGATCAAATTAAACTTAAAGATTCCTCATGAAGCTTAAAAAACTGCGTCGAATGCCGCCAAACGCGTAAAATTCGGGTCATTCATTCAAAAGTTATTGCGGTTTGAAAATTTGAAAAATTGTGTTTTATCAAACTTCTATCAGACTTCTGAGCTCGAAGAACTCAAAAGCATACAAAAGCTATTTCTTTGAGCTCGGAGAGTTGGGAAAATTGCTAATTAGACCGTCGATATATATATGTCGGAAGAGCATTGTTAGGGGCATTGGTAGAGTCCATTGCATGGATTCGTTTGTTCCATTATTAACACTGATCTAAATTTGAAATGTAATGTACACTCTCATATAAATAATACTACGACTAATTAATTAAATATAATTAATATAAAACGTAAAAGCACTAGGCAATGAGACCGAGAACGAATCCGGGGTCAGCAAGATATGCTCGATGTCTTTATTCGATCAATGCTCAACCAGAACTACTCATCTAAGTACTACCCTAAGTACTTCTTCTCTCAAAAATATTTTGACAGTTCTCATTGTCTGTCGATACCTCTAACTATACTTTTTACTCCTATCCTGTGACCTCGGCTACGTTTGGTGACCACTGTCACTCCAGACTAAAGCTCATCGCCATAACCATAAAAAACATAATTGGCTTAAGTCATAAATAATAACTAAATATCCTATGCTTTACAATTCTGCGTACAACTATTAGAAAGACAAACTAAAATATCGGGAATTTCACTGCCTCTGGGAAAACTCAGCTCGATACTATCTCCAACATATACATATACTCCAACATTTAACAAATATAAATAATGCTGTGAAGCGGGAAAGAATAGGAGTTACGGATAATTATTACGTGAAGCGTTCCAACATTCACGTAACAGGATAATTGGTAGGAAAGGATTGAGAAAGGATTATGGAGAGGAACTTCTTAATGTGAGTGTATAGAATATGAGAAAAAAAAATTAATAGATAGCTCGGACTGGGATTCGAACCCAGAACCTTCCGAAGACATGTCGGCTACTCTACCATTTGAGCTATCCGGTCTATACTAAATTTCCTTTCACTTATTCTATATACATTAAGCCACACCGTCCATCTTACGGTTAGCATTTTTAACAAATATAAATAATGCTGTGAAGCGGGAAAGAATACTTTTATTATTTTCAGTGTAAAACCACAGAGATGATGCAAAAAAATTGTTAATTTTTTTTTTATAGAAAAATTCATCTCACACAAAATTCAACCACTTTCAGAATCTGATTCATCGAAGAATGTGCGAAAGCTGATAAATATTCTCGCTATAAAATTTTTATTAAGATTGATAGGCAGACATCTAAGTGATCTCATAAATATTCTATTATATGCACTACGGAAAAAAAAAAAATTATAAATATTTTTTTACGGTAAAAAAAAACTTTTATCACAAAAAAATTCTTTATCGATGTATTTAAATTATTCAATCAAAAATACAGTACTTCAAAGTACAAACATCATAATAATATATTCATGAATACCACCAGGATATCTAAAAATTTATTGACACAATAAAGCAAATAAACTTTTATTTATTTATTTACCTAGGTATTTGAATATATATATATATTTTTTTTTAAAACTTGCTATTTATAAATTTTGTGATCTTGCCATAATACAATGAATAATTCATAAAAGTTTCATAATATAGTGTAGCGTAAGAATAAACATCAGTAGAATAAGAGAGTGGTTGAATATAAAAAGAAAGGAACCAAACAAAAGCAGAGAGCCTGAAGAAGTTGTCTCTGGTTAGTTGCGTGGTTAATGAGTTTTCAAGTGGTCACTACAAAGTGAGACTATATAATGATATATGGTCATTTCTCCTTGTTTTACTCGCTAGACAACCTCTTTGCACTCCATGATATCCTCTGTCTTTGTACTTTAACTGGAGCGCCATCCACCATCCACATTTTAAATTTGACTTGTATAGTATATTACACGGTGCGAGGCCAATTGATCCGCAGAAAATTGATCTTCACGATGTGAAAAACCCGTGATGTTGTGTCAGCGTCATAATATACGTGACAAATTTGGGAATTGGGTAAATAAAGGATAAAGGGGGAAGGGGAGGACCTTATTTTACTCAGTAAGAATTTCTTTGGTGACTGAAAAAATAATTTGGACAGCCCGGACCGGGAATCGAACCCGGATCGTTCGGTTACGCGCCAAAGGCTCTACCAGTGAAGCTATCCGAGACCTTGTCCGTAATTATTATTCAGTCACCTATTAACACCTATGAGTAAACACCATCGTCCATCTTACGGTAATAACAAATATTAATTTGTAGTTGAATTTGTCGTATCGATAAGTCAGCGACACAACCAAGGGATATATAATATCATTGGATCAATCGTTGTCGGATCAACCGTCGTCGGATCAATTGGCCTCGTACCATATTACACACCTAGGGCAGGAAAGTAAGAAATGTCTCAAATCACATTTTTATTGACCTCGGCTTCGCCTCAGACAACAATTACATGTGATCTGAGACATTTCTTACTCTACTGCCCTAGATGTGTAATATACTATTTTTCTGCTTTTTATCAATTATTTTATATTTATAGTAGTAAATCGATTGTTAATAAATTTTCAACTTGAAGCGTAAAAATGTTCATTTTTTGTTTTCAAACAAATATTTTTTACTGAAAG